TTTATCTACATATCAGTAAACGGTTTCTTCCTTCCTTCCTTCTTCCCTTCCTTCCTTCCTCTATTCCTTCAACAATATTAACCAATAACAACCACATGCTTCTCATGGCGCTATCTACACAGCAAAAGCAAGCTTAAGCGTTAAGTCACACCTATTCCTTTAGAAAGTTTTATAAAAACAGTGTAGTACTAGATTGCAAATATATACGGTGACGTTTAGAAAAGTTGAACACTTCTGATTCAGCATTGTTTAATAATGTGGTCAATAGGATGAATAATTGAATAGATGCATGGCTTCCTGGAGACCAAAACTCTTTTCTTCTGTCATGAAGGATAACATCTGAATTCCAACGGATTGTTGCAAATTGGAAATGTAGTCAGATGAAAATCAACGAGAAAAACTAATTTCCAATGCTTATATACATATTTGAGTTGGAGTCTCCATGGCCCAGGCTGGAGGGCAGTGGCATGCTCACAGCCACCCCAGCTTCGACCTGCTGGACTCTAGCGATCCTTCTGCCTCAGTCTTCCCAACAGCCACAATTACAGGCACGCACTACCATCCTCGGCTCATTTTTTTTTAAAATTTATTGTAGAGCCAAGGTCTTGCCAAGTTTCCCAGGCTGTTCTCGAACCTGTGGACTCAGGCAATTCCTTCACCTTGGCCTCCCAAAGTGCTGGGATTACGGGCTGAGCCACCAAGCGTGGCCATCAAATGGTAATTTTGAAGTAGAAAAACTATCCTGTCAAAATAAGCTAATTGAGAGTAACGTTTTTCATGTGAAAGAATGACAGAAAAGATTCATCCAGGCTTGAACTCACAGTGAACACAAAATGACTTAATAGCTGTGCAGAACAGTCATTGTCTCAGAACAAGTATAGCAGGTTGTCGGAGCCCGAAGGTAATTTCACTTGATATTCATGCACAATATTACAAAGTATGCTAATCAGCGGGGACACCGGTTCCAAGAAACATTAATGAGCTTACAGAAGAAGCACTGATAAGTTTGTATCTGTGATAGTAAAAGTATTAAGTTTTTTGTTTTGTTTGTTTTGCCACGGGGTGTTTTCTTTTCATTAGCCATATAAATAATTTTCTATACTATCCAGGGAAAACCAGAGAATTTGGCAGCCTCAGAGACCTATGAGCCTGTGACATTGGCATAGAGGGCCCGGGTTCACAGTGCAGCTTTGTGGCTCGTGTCCATCTTGCAGGCGGTTCTTTCTCCACGTTATGACTGGGATCTTGAGGAATATGAGGGTGGAGAATCCTCCAGACAGGAAATCTCACTCCGCTTCTGCTCAGTGGTCTCTTTGGTTGCCAGGGTATTCTTCTACTCCTCCATTTTCTTCAACTTGGCCTTATCAAAGCTGGCGATGTCCCCCCATGTCCAGTTTGTCTGAAATTTTCTTAAAACAATCCAAGCTGTCCCACTCTGAGCCGGGGCTCCTGGACTCCCACTCGCATTGGTGCAGCAAGAGACCAGTATTAAGGTTTTTTTTAAGGCAGGTAAACCAGGCCCTGAGTCTATTCACAGTGTGACTCCCGACCAACCATGCTCCACCTCTAGTGGGGATGGGCTCAGGAAAACTTGGAAGAAAGAAACAGCCCTGAGGTGAAAACTGCTTCTGGTTGAGATCAGATAAGCTCATCTTTCTGAAATGTATGCACTGTTTTCCTAGGGATAAAAAGGAACGAAAAGCCAGGCTCGGTGGCTCAGCCTATAATCCCGCGCCTTTGGGAGGCTGAGGTGAGTGGATTGCCTGAGCCCACGGGTTCGAGACCCGCCTGGGCAGCGAGACCTCATCTCTACAGTCAAGCAAAAAATCAGCCGGGCGTGGTAGCGCATGCCTGTAATTCCGGCTACTTGGAAGGCCGAGGCGGGAGGATCACCAGAGCCCAGCAGGTCAAGGCTGTGGTGGCCGGGAGCGGCCACTGCACTCCAGTCTGGGTGACAGAGTGAGACTCCAACTCGAAAAAAAAAAAAAGGAATGAAAGTTAAAATACTGACTTTAAAGAAGTAATTAAAAGGAAACTATTTGAAGGGAATTGTAAAATCAGAGCTATATCTCTTCTCTCTTTTGACTATATGTCTACATATATGGATTATTACATGTAACACAGAGGCTTGTAAAGTACACGAGGGAGAACTTTATGTTTCATTTATTAATTTGTTTTATAATCTTCCTTCCCTCGCAAATGATTTTAAGTGGGAAGATGGCGGTGGAAGAAGCATGGTTTTTAAATATTCTTGAATCCCCTCATAAAGAATAGGCAGAACAACTATAATAGTGAAACCAAAATTCCTTAGGCGGTGTGCAGAAACTACTTGACAAGGTGTCTCCTTAAGACCCCAAAATATGAGAAGCAGAAGCACTGATAAATTCAGAACCTGTGTGGGTTCATGCTCAGTGCAGGAGGAAGCAGAAAGATGTCAGCAGGGCATTGCAATCCTGAGAATAGGAGAACCTGATGAACTCCCCTGGAGACCCCAGACCAGCTGCAAGGAGGGCTTAGATTACTCTGGTTTCACCAAAGCTTCCTTCCAGGACAGAATCCCACTGTGAGGAGAAATTGCTGGTGGAGAATCCAAATTGGGCAGGATGGAGCAACAGGGAGAGAAGAAAGAGAAGGTCCAGATAAGTGTCGTGGAAACAACAGAAGGGGGAGTGTTAGCACCATCCCCCCCCCAAAAGCTACTGGAACTACTGGAAAACTCATTTCCCTTAAAAACTAGCATCCAATTTTTCAGATATTCCCAAAATATCAGAATTGAACAAAGATATGACAGGAGAAAGAAAGAGATAGAGGCAAAATAACATCCATACAACAATAAAAATAAGTCAAAAAGGCATGCCCAACCAGATAAAAATTGTAACCTAACATTTAGAAGTCACATAAATAAAATGAAGGAAATGATAGAAGATAATAAAGAACAGCATAAATTAGAATGAAGAAAAACTAAAAATGATTGGTCACAAAGAAAATTTGGTGGGAAAAAAGTGGCAACTTATAAAAAACATTAGAAATAAAAGAAAAATGATAATATAATTCAAAACTAAATTAGAAGAAATACAAGAACAAGTAAACACAGTAAGTCATATCTTTCTGAATTAGATGACTCAACATACTAGAAATAGAAGGGAACGTCTTCAACCTGATGAAGGGTGTCTACAAAAAACTCACAGCGAACATCATACTTAATGGTTAAAGAATGAATGACTTTTCCCTAAAATGAGAAACAAAAGAAGGATATCTGCTCTCACCACTTCTATTTAACATTGTGCTGGAGAGTCTAGCCAGGGCAATTGGGCAAGAAAATAAACAAAAAGGCATCAAGATTGGACATGAGGAAGTAAAACTATCTCTACCTGCAGATTATATGATTTTGTATACAGAAAATCCTAATGAATCCACTAAAAGAAATCATTAGAACTAAAAAATGAATATAGTAAGGTTGTATAATAACAAGAAATATACAAAAATCAATTTCTACAGAGTTGTAATGGACAATCTAAAAATGAAATTAAGAAAAAAATTCATTTATAATAGCATTCACCGAATAAAATACTTACTCCCCATCAAAATCTCAATGTTATTTTTTTGGATATAGAAAAAGCCGTCTACAAATTCATATAAAAACACAAAGGCCCTGAATAGTCAAAGCACTCTTGAGAAAGAACAACAAAGCTAGAGACATCACACTTCCTAATTTCAAAATATATTACAAAGCTACAGTAATTGAATAGTTTGATATTAGTATAAAAATAGACAAATAGTCAATAGAACCAAATAGAGAGCCCAGAAAAAAACCATGCACATAGAGTCAACTGTCTTTGACAAGGGTGCCAAGAATACACAATGGGGAAAAGACAGTGTCTTCAACAAATAGTTCTGGGAAGACTGTATCTTCACATGCAAAAGAATGAAATCGGATCTTTATTTTATGTCATACCAAAAATCAACTCAAAATGGATTAAAGACTTAAACATGAGACCAGAAACTATAAAACTACTAGGGGAAAAACTTCCTGACATTGACCTTGGCAGTGATTAGTTAGATATGACACCAAAAGCACAGACAACAAAAACAAAAATAGACAAGTGAATTCCCTTCAAACCAAAGAGCTTCTGCACAGCAAAGGAAACAATTGGCAGAATGAAAAGAGAACTATTGGTTGGGAGAAAATATTAACAAATTATTTATCTAATAACGGGTCGATATAAAAAATATGCAAGAACTACTACAACTCATTAGTAAAAGAACAAATGGCCCAAATAACAATGGGCCAATAACTCAAAATGGCATTTTCCCAAAGAAATGTCCCACAGGCATGAGAAAAAATTATCAACATCACTAATCATCAGGGAAATCATCAGAGACACATTCTAAAATATTTATAATTTATATGATGTCTAGAATTTGTTTTCAAATAACCAAGAAAAGATTGAAGAAAGGGGAGACGACTGAAACAAGATTAGACATACCATGCGTTGGTAATTTTCAAACCTAAAACCACCTCACACCTGTTAGGATGGCTATTACTAAAAAAAAAAAAAAAAAAAGACAAGAGTTGGCAAGAATGTGGAGAAATGGGAACGCTTGTGCACTGTTGGTGGGGGTGCGAAATGTGGCAGCCACGATGAAAAACAGTATAGAAGTTCCTCAATAATTAAAAAACAGAACTACCATATGATCTGGCAATCCTACTTCCTGGTATATATATTTTAAAAATGCAGCCAGAATCTCAAATTGATATCTGCATTTCCATGTTCACTGCAGCACGATTCACAGTAGCCAAGATGTAGAAATACTCTAAATGTCTATTGATGGGTGAAAAAATAAAGAAAATGTGGTAGGTGCATATGATGAAATATTATTCAGCATCAAAAAGAAGGAAATCCTGAAGTATGTGACAACATGAATTAACCTGAGATCATTCATTTCACTAAGTGAAAAAGGCAGTCACAGAAGAACAAATACTACATGATTTCACTTACATGAAGCATCTAAAACGATCGAACTCACAGAAGTAGAAGTAGAATGGTGGTTTCTATGGGCTATAGAGAAAGAGAAAACTGGGAGTCACTAATCAAGGGTACAGAGATTCACTTATGCAAGATAAGTAAGTTCTAGAGATGTGCATACACATACAACACAATGCCTGTAGTTAGCAATACTGCGTAGTTAACAACACTGTACATTTAAAAATCTGTTAAGAGGGTAGATCTTTTGATCATAATAAAATAAAAAATTTTGAAAGTTGCTGTATCAGCAGATAGTTTGGACATGATGAGAATATAATTTGAACTCATTAGATACTTCTATTTCTGCATTTTGCAAAAATGCTAATGAAGACATATCTACAAGAAAAAAAATGTATTTACTAATTGTCCACTTGAAGATGACTGGATTAAAACTGACTAAATCAGCATCAATGACATTTGAGAACTTTAACTGTGATCTCTAAATACGATGTCCCACTGAAAAGCAGCCGGTCTGCTTGTGGAAATGGCTGTTTCCAAGTTTGCAACAGAAAAATTATGACAAACCTGGAACATCTTGTCATAACTAAATCAGAGTCACGTAAAAAGATATCAAAAGCCATCTTGAATAGGCTCCTTTTGGCTAAAGATAGAACATTAAAAACATTACCAAGAATAATATTTGTAACTTGAAACACATAAAACATTAGTATATTCATGAGCATATGATCCATTAAAAGAGTATGGATAATGTAGTATTATGGATGTACCTATAAAGTAATCTTGACAGAGAAAGAGAACTTGAATTTGAGTAAGCCTTTCGATTCACCTATCAATTTTCCAAGAATATAGGGAAGATAGAAACATGTTACACACCATTTCATGGATGCAATCTGCAAAATCCAGACTGTGGGATGCTTTCCAAGACAAAGGACCCAGTTCTGCAACAGAAAATTGCAAGGAAAAAAAAAAGAAAGAGAGAGAACTAAGAGGTCAAGAGAGACTTAAGAGACCTATTAAGCAATCTCTATGTATAGACTGCATTTGAATCTTGAAGCTAACTCTCTCTCTCTCTCTCTCTGTCACACACACACACACACACACACACACACACACACACACACACACACACCACAGCAACTTGGAAAATATGAACACTGGATATTTAATGATAAGAAACTGCTTATTAGACATGAGAATAATGTTGTATTTACATATTTTTAAAGATGCCCTATCTTTAGAGAAACATTCTAAAATATTTATAATTTATATAATATCTAGAATTTGTTTTCAAATAATCAAGAGGAGATGGAAGAAAGGGGAGACAGCTGAGCAAGATTAGCCATACCATGCATTGGTAATTTTCAAAGCTGGGTGACCAGTATATGGGGGTTCCGTATACGCCTCTCTCCACACCTGCGGATGTTTTAAGCTTTGTATAATAAAAAGCAAAATAAAGAAATACATTAAATGGCCCCAAAGTTACTTACAAGATTATATAAAATGATAAGAGAGCATAATAAATGTTAGGCAAACAAATAAGGAAAAACAAGAATGAAACAAAGAACAACCAGAAATGGAGCTTAAATTGCGTAGCATAAGGACCCACTGGCGGGTCACAAATTTGCCCAAAACTTCCTAGCAGTTAGTGTAAAAAGTAAAACCTTGGAATTATAAAATTTACAACGTCTGTTAGATACATACCGGTCACTCAGGAAAAGTCACTTGCTCAGTAGTTTAACAGCTTAATGTTAAGACTCTACCAGAACCTCTCTGGAAGAAGTCTGTTGCAGGGGATGCTGTGTGCTCATTCATTCCCACGGCCCTTCAGTCACTCGTTCTTTTAGCAAGTATGTTTTGAGCACCCATCGTATGCCAGGCTCTGCAAAAGAGGACAGATGCGCAATGACGAGCGTGAAGACGGAGAGAATACTGCCTTCACTGTTCTCGAAGTTCAGTGCAAAAAAAGACAATAAACAGGGAATTCAAAGGATGCTGTGGACTGGGCATGGTGGTTCACGACTGTAACCCCAGCACTTTGGGAGGTCAAGGCAAGCGGATTACTTGAGCTTGAGCACAGGAGTGCGAGACCAGCCTAGGCAACATAGTTAGACCTTGTCTCTTAAAAAAAACCCCAAGGTAATGATGAATCGGTTGGACTAGAGTCTCTGAGCTTTTCACTGAGGATATGGGAAATCACCTGATCCACTCCATCTTGTCTGTCCTCCTCTCCCCATCCAGCTTCATGCTTTGACTTGAGTTGCCTGCATGGTTCTAATACATATTCCTTTGATGACATTTCAGGTATTTCCTGACAAAAAGGATGTCCTATATTTGGTGTTGGGCAAACCCTAGGAACTTATACCTTCCCTATATCAACCTGTGTGAGCAGCTGTCAATTTATTGAGGGGGGAAATTGTCCAGAAATTTGGGGACACATCAGGTATAGAGAACTTGTTATATTTTGTTTTATGTAAGTATATATGGTTTAATCAAAATAATTCCAATAAAATATTCAAGAAACCCCCCCCCAAAACTTATATATACTCTTACTCTTATATATATATACACTGGCATGGTGACATGAGCCTGTATATAACATATATATATATGTTATATATATATATGTATATGTATATACATATACATGTATATATACATGTATATATATATGTGATATATATATATACATGTATATATATATGTGATATATATATATATATATATATATATATATATATAAAAAATATATGCCAGGCATGGTGACGTGAGCCTGTGGTTCCAGCTACCTGGGAGACTGAGGAAGAAGGATCACTGAGCCCAGAAAGTCAGAGTTGTGGTGAGCCATGATTGTGCCACTGCACTTCAGCCTGGGCAACAAAGTGAGACCTTGATTCAAAAAAAGAAAAAGAAAAATATAAAGCAATGGTGGGCAGTACTTAGCAAGAATACATCATTCCAACCAAGGATAAAGGAAGATTTATTCCCCAGAGAAAGCAACAGTTTTCTTGGTTGAGGTACAAATTAAGGGGTAGGAATTAGCTAGGAAGGAGTCGCACTGAGGAAGTTCTCAGTAACAAGCACCAAGGTGCAAGGAGAGAGCGGGAAAGAGCGAGCTGGTGGTAAGACCGAGGGGGTCAGCATCCAACCCAACGCGTCCACACGCAGCTCCTGATTTTCTCTCAGAATTTGCTCCTCTTCCAGTCTTCTCCTGTTGGTAATGAGGACTCATCCTTTTATTAAAAACCAGGGGTCATTTTAGTGCCTGTTTGGTGTGCATGTTTTGTTTCTTTGTTTGCTTGTTTTTATTTTTACAGCCACGTCCAAATTCCCTATTTGTTTCCAAGTACATCCAAACCCACCGCCTTCTCCCACCTCCACTGCTCCCACCATTATCCTTTCCCTTTGAATGACCTCCTCCCAAGTCGTCTTTCTGCTTCTTTCCTTGGACATCCACCACCGCACCCCAATCCCAGTGGCCCAAAGGATTTTTTTTTTTAAGTTAATGGCGGATAAAAGCATTCCTCCATTCAAACTGCTATGGCTTCCTCACGCACTCACTCAGAATAAAATCCAAAGTCCTCCCAATGGTCTTTAAGTCCCTAGACCGCTGGGCCCTTGCTGAGTCCGTTTTCTTGCACTTTCCCCCAACCCACCAGTAGCCTCTTTGTTCTTCTTTAAATGTCCGAAGCACATTTGCTCTTGCTGGTCTCTCTGCTTGGTTTCCCCCCATAACCCAGGCCCTTTTCCATCACTTCCTCAGGTGTTCACCTAAACAGTACTTCGCTAATCACTGTATATGAAATAGAAATGCCCCTCTCCTGGCACTACATAGCAGTTGTGGCGGTTAGACCATTTGCTGTTGTAACAATCTCAACATTTCAATACTCAATACAATGAAAGTTGACTTCTTGCTCATGCAATGGTCCAGCAGGATGTTCTTGACAAAGCACCATACCTAGGCAGCTCATCTTCTGTGGTGACGTAGGTTGCAGGCTCCATTCACCCACGGCTCCTCCATCACTTTTGGCCTTGAAGTCCACTGCTATTGTTTGTTGCATGTGTCATCAGATGAGTAAAGTGGAGGTAACACTGGAGTTCATTTTATGGGCCAAACCTAGGAGCAGTGCACACCTCTTCTCCATGTATTTCATTGTCTACAGTCACATGGCTGCACATAGCTGCAAGGGAAGATGGACAATGCAGTTTGCACTGGGCTCGGTGGCTCAGCCTGTCATCTTTGGGAGGCCAAGGTGAGTGTGGATCGCTTGAGCCCAGGGGTTTGAGATCAATCTGAGTTGGCGAGAGCTCATCTCTACCATAAATCAAAATTAGCCATTTTACCAAAATTACCATTAGGCATGGTAGCACGCACCTGTAGTTCCAGCTACTTGGAAGGTTGAGGCGGAAGGCTGATCGCTGGAGCCCAGTAGGTCAACGCTGGGGTGGCCGTGAGCATGCCACTGCACTCCAGCCTGGGCGACAAAGTGAGACTCCAACTCAAAAAAAAAAAAAAAGAAAGAAAGAAAACACAGTTCGGCTCTGTGTCCAGGAGAGAAGACAGACAGTGTGGTAAGTACTTAGTCAATCCTTACCATGGTTTGCCATTTATGTCTCCCAAATATCCGCTTTGTTCATCCTCTGCTATGTAGAACACTTTGCCCTCTCCCAATGAGAGGCAATTCCAGTCCCATTCAGTTCCTGTATCTAGCTCAAGTTCAGGACTTCTAGGTGAGATGAAGTCCTCTCCCTATGGCCTCTATGACCCACAGTCTAAATGACAGGTGATCTCCCCCTTCCTCTAGCTTTCAATAGTGAACAGGAACAGGTAATCACAATAAAAGCTCCTACATAGAAAAGGGAAACATACCTACCCTAGCAGTCACTGGTCAAAACCATTCTTAGATCCTGCCAGGCACATGATAAAGTCCTTCTTCTCTGGAACAGGGACATTCTTGCCCTCCTGTTGACCGATTCTGCTCTCTAGAAAGAGTTAATGTTTCTGTCATTCCCCATAATCCCTGCCTCCTCCTTTGGATAAAGTTTTCCTGTCTTTATTCTCCCTGACCATATCTGAAGTTGGAGAGTATGACATCCTCTGGCGAGAGGAGAGCTTTTAGAGTCAACTTCCTGTTGGTACAAGCATGGGGCCCAAGGGGTTTTTATAGGCACAGTCAATAGTTTTGGTTTTTTAACCTGAGATCATGGGGGTTTTTTTTCAACCATTTAATTTTTTCAAAAAACCTAGTAAATTTTTGGTTTATTTCCTTGTAATCAATTCCATGCGCAAATAAAGTCACTCACAGTTCTTAGGCATAGTTCTCAAGCCTGATATATTACCAAGCTTTCTCACCCTTGACCCTCTATCTCTCAATGTATTGGCAGCTATCCAAGGTTAGCTGAAACAATAGGCAGGAAAGTCACATCTTAATTTGATCTTTCCTCTTGGTCTAAGTCATTTTGATTCATTTCTTTTTTTAAGGGGGAGATGAGGTCTTGCTCTGTGGCCCAGGTTTGGGTGCATAGCTTACTGCAACCTCAAATACCTGGGCTCAAGCAAATCCTCCCACCTCAGCTTCCCAAGTTGCTAGGACTACAGGTATGCCACCACACCCAGCTAATTTTTTTATGCTTATTTTTTTATACAGTTGGTGTCTTGCTGTGTTGTCCAGGCTAGTCTCAAACTCCTGGACTCAGACAATCCCCCCATCTCAGGCTCCCAAAGTGCTGGGAATACAGGTGTGATCATGGTGCCCAGCGAAGTAATTTTGTTCAATTAAGAAGTTGATTGGTTCTTTATCTCTCAGAGCCATTTCGGTTCCTGCATCTTACAGTTGGTTTAGATAGCAGCAATTAGTTTTCACAATACTTCAGTGAGCACACCAAATTTTAGTATGAGTTTTTCTCTTTTCATGTTTGCTTATATAAACGTCCCTTTTCCATCTCAGCTCTTAATTGTAATACTTTGCCAAAGGCCGCCAATGGTGACCAACAAACTCCAACATTTATTTCTTCCAGTCACTTTCACTGAAGCTACCGGGCGAGTAGGTACAAGGTTTGTCTTCCAAATAGTTTTAACAAATGGTTTACCACTGTGTAACATGGTATCCAATATCAGTGTGAATATTGCCCACCATCTTACTGCTAAGGCTGTTCTACGTTCTTTGTCACAGAAGTTTCCCATTCCTGGTGCCAATATTCACATTCGTAGATTAACTTCTATAGGAAAAACCCCAAAATGCAAATGGCCTAACAACATGAAAGTTTATTTCTCTCTCCTACAACAATCCCACATAAGCGTTTTAGGCTAGATGGCTCTTCTTTAGGGTGACACAGGGACCCAGGTTCTTTCTGTTTCTAAGCTCTGCCATTGTAGAGCACCTCAGAGTTCTCTGATGAGAGATTCTCTGGATTCATCCATCAGACTGGCAGAGAGAGAGAGAGAGAGAGAGAGAGAGAGAGAGGGAGGGAGGCTTAAACAGAAAGATTTCTATGGCCAGGACTCCTATGGTGCACCAAATGGTGTATTATTTAAAAATCATTATGGCAAAACTAAAGCAACTCAATGAAATGATGAACACAGACTCAGAACAGAAGTTACCTAGGGGAATGAGAATGAAAGTGGGTGAATGAAATGAAGAATGAAATGAAGAAACATACAGGAGTGTCCCTGAGGGTTAGTAATGCTCTGCCCCAAAGTTTGGTCACGGGGTTACAGATGTTTGCTCAGTTGTTCCTTTGTATGCCCCACACATCTACCAGAAATGTTCTGTCGTGAATGTGTTCGGCATTTACTAAAAGCAATTAAATTGGCTAGTACTACAAGGCAGCATCTAACACGCAGCTAATAAAGAACTTAGACAGGTGGGCTCGGTGG